GGCTCCGATTCGTGTTCTGGATGTTGTACAACATCCATCCCTATCGACTAGATCACAAACCGGACTACGTCGCTACAAGTAGCGAAAGGAATTTCCATTTCCATTTCCATTCCCAACGCGGCCGTCGTCTCGGTCCGTCGTACTTCTAACATGCGGAGGTTGGGCCATTCCGTGATCGAGAGTGGGCTCCATTCCATTGTTCTGAAACCCGCCCCTCATTCTTCCATTCCTGTCACCTCTAGCCACATGTAGATAAGGTGTAGTTGCCTACTGGAATGCCGATTGTAACGAAACTCTCGTGGGCTCGCTGTTGGATGGGAAGGGTGCATACATGCTCCTTACAATCCTCTGCAAGCTACTGTTGTGTGTGTTGAACAGGTGCCGCAAACCTCAAAGGCTACTGTCACCACCCCAATCTCTCGCTACCACTAGCTCTACCGACATCCTCTCCGTCTGACAGTGGCCGGTTCCATTATGGTACCCGCTTCTACAAATTGCAGCTCAGCTGTAATCATGCTGATCCATACTTTACAGGCTACCGTAGTCTGGAAGGCCGCCCTAATCCATATCCACTTAGCCTCTTCCACCTATGATCGCCTCTCATAAATCATACAGCTTACCATCCCGCATACCTCAACATAGACAACCGGTCATGGGGTAGAAGAGGTCGGGTGATAATAAGGCAAATGCTAAATACGACTGAGTTATGGCAATGAATAAATTTAATTTCTTTCAATTCTTTCATTCTGTTCCAACTTTGGAAGATCTTCTTATTATGTGTGGGGACCATAACGAAAAATGATATTCCATAGCTTGGAGGTGTCACATGCCTACAGCGAGAGCGAAATGTCGATGCCTTACGTAAGATTGCCAAAGAGACCGCCGTCTGAAAGAGTTCTCGAGGCTGAAGGAACGAAGAGACACGACAAGGTTTGTCACAAGAGAGGCCAAAATGAACGAGGAATGCCGGCAAAATAGATCGACCCAAACTAACAACCAACTCCAGCAAATCAAGATGAAACGTGTGTCGGAGAGGAGATGAAGTCGTGCCATATGGAGAGCATGTGAGAGATGGATGTCTATTGGTGTGTAGGTAGGGACCGGGATAGAGTACTGCCCAATAAACCGTACCTCACGGATCCTAACAGCGATAACAAAACAAAATAGATGCCATGAAGTGCAAGCAAGTGACATGATGTGATGTGTCCCAGGGGCAGTTCATTGCTCAGTACAACAAAAAAAGTTCGTTCCATTGTTTGGACTCGTGATGAAGAAGAAAAACCAGCATGACCCATCCAGGATCCAAAATATTTCTCGTGCTTCAATGCCCACGGTGTCTGCCCACCTTTTGTGGCAAGACATATTCTTCAATGGGCGGCTGCAAAAGTTGGAGACCATGGCTGAAACATACCCATTTTTTGTTTGAGTGCTGCAGAGGAGCTTGCAACAAACTTTTCTCTCGTTCTCGACTTTGGGTTTCCCAAGAACGAAATCCTTAAAGTGCATGGCTACCCTGCTAAAGAGTATGAGGCACGTTTCGTCTCATATGGCATGCTATTGCCATAAAGAAACCAATTTCTCACTAGCAGTCAATACCGAAGTTTCTCGAATCTGAGCACCCAGGCATCGAAAAATGCATAATGTCCAACTTCTAGAAAGAGTACATAGATAAAGAGCTATTAAAACATTGATTATCCGCTGTCACATGAACCATCAGCCTTTTATTTTATACCAGTTAAGTGCAACCCAAAGAGCATCACTTTCTAGAATCAGACTGCTGGATTGAAGGTCACGCAGTAGGACAAATCCGCCAAACACTATATGCTGAAAACTGAAAAACTCATACCATATATTTATTGAGTTGTGTATATTGAGTATGCTATGGTAGGAAACAGTATATAACACTGGGTGTAACTAATCAAGGTGTCAGGTAGAAGGAAGCTCGCACAAAGCTTCTTCACTTGGAGTTGAACACCTTCCTGAAGTAGCTCAAATCCTCTAAACGAAATAACAATAAAAATCAACAGCGAAGAGCAGTGGCCCAAGGCTGGAGCTTCGTGAACATCTTCCTCCGCATCATTTCGTTCAACAAACTGGAAAGGAGGCATTCACATGATCTCCACTAAATGTTCCGGCCAACAGAAACAATGAGTGCACAGAATACCCACATACAGGCTGCAAGAGCAGCCATCGAAGCTCGGAACTCAGTAATACCAAACTTGGACGTAGCTCAGGGGGAGTCCCACGATGTTTGAGAGCGCTTCCCGCGCCTCACCAATGGCAAGGACTTTGTACTCTTGCTCTTTCCCGCATGACAAGGTATGGTCAAAAGCAGGCCTCATCTGCACGACTCCAGCCTCCATTCTTTTGATGAAGAGGTTCTTACATCACCCATGACTTTTTAGCATCATCCAGATCAAGGTCTCGTTGGCTAACGAAGGCTCGAGGAGAGATGGATTTCCCACTCACGTGAAGGAATAATGAAACATCAGAAAGGCTGTGACCCTTTGCGACGAAGAGATGAGCGCATCATAGCTATATTAAGCCTTACTCAATCGGGACTATGATTCTTTGAAGCAAAGCCAACTTTCTGCTGAAGCGTTTTTTGTCTAGAGGAGTCCAACTTTGGATCGGAGATCGCCTCAGGCCAAGGCATGCGTCACAACGACAGGTTTTTTGTGAAGACTATGCGGAAGTTCCTCGACAAAGAACAAACCGATTCGTTCATCAAATTTGAAGACGTCTGTCTCCACTTCAGAATCAAAAAGATGGACCAAACAAACACTCATGTGGACCACAAACACATCATTGCAAATGATTGTGTTGGCACAAAGTGCACCACATCCATTTCACAGATATCACTTTAGGGAGCGACATTTGCAGTGAAGTCATCTCCAAGGTCAGGAGATATCGAGCTTTTACATCGGCATTCATTTGTAGCTTTGGTGTAAACTCTCACGGCAAGAAACCAGGCCACCAAGTAATACTTGAGATTGAGAAGAAACCATATGGAAGGAATATCTATGGAAGGAAAGGAGGAAGGAACACTCATTTCAACTCACACGAGTAGGGACAATTCACACATCCAATCCGAAAAGGATGCAAACGGAGAAAAGTAATTAGAGAGTATTGCATGAAGAAGAGGCTCATGTGACGACATCTCAACCTCTCAGTCTTGTGAACTAATCCTTATCACTCTTTTTAATCTATCGAAGACAGATTCCCTTCAGAATCAATAAAGGAAGCTAAGGAAAAAACGGTTCCAGAAGTAAAGTAAATGACTAAAAAAAGAGTAACTCTATCTGTAAACTATCTTCATTATGTTGCACATATTGAGAAAACCAACATATGTTATATAAAAGGTCCCATTATTTTTATTTGATAAATCACTGGGAGTATTCATATATGATAAGATTAATAACTCTAAAAGAAGAATTTTCACTTTTAAGTCTTGAAGCCTGCATAGCTATAATTCAAGTAAACTGAAATAAACTTAACAAAAATGTTAAATGTACAATCCCATAACAATCCTTACCTCTTTTCTGTCACGTCGTTTATATACATTTCTTTCCTTACCTTATGGATTGATGTTATTGACATAAAGTCAACATCTAATGACCATATGTATCTTACTTGTACGTTTACATGCGCTTAATCCAATGTTAAAGTCTTCGAAATTCATATGTTTAGGGCATAAACTTTAAACCTCAATTTTTCAGATTCAGCTCAGATTGGTCAATACTTTTATTCTTGCTTGCTGAAAAATCACCGTGTAGGATTTTCTCATCTCGCAATGATGTTATTGTGCGGTTAGTGACTGAAAGAAAATGAAATCGGTCAAAATTGTATACACATATGACATTCTTCTAGTACTATACATGGTGCAATTAATTATCAGGATTTTTATGGGTGAAATAAATTATTAGATTATTATTTGTTAACATTATTGATTTCTGCTATGTTCATATTAGTTATTGAAATATTTCCAAATTTTGAATAATTTTCATTATACTTACATCAATAAAATAAGTAACAATTAAATGACTAAACCGTAAATGTCAGAAAAATATGTAAGATATAAATAAATTTAGTTAGTTAGTAAAATTTCCATCTATACAAAGAAATGTTCATAAGTGTATTAATGAAAACTGGTAAATTCTTGTAATAAATTACACACAAATCTATGTAAGTTTGTGTGTAATGTGAAATTAGTAGATATTTGAAAAAATCATTTTACAGAATAATAATTTGAAGTAAATTTTTTTTATAAAGGAATAAAATAATGGATGCCATGATCTAGTTTCCGATAGAATCGTGATACGATGTATAAACCTCTATACTCTGCTTACAATGTTTGAGCTATCAAATTATAAAAGCTTATAAATAACTGTAGCATTTTATGCTGCATCAGTTGACATAATATTTTTCTATGACTGACGATGGCTAGTGATATGTGTATAACAATAAACATATGCTATGTGAAATAAATCAGAATAATCGATACACTATCTACCATAGTATGTTGACTGAAAGAGATATATAGTGTTCGATTACTTAAATATCATCTAAATTAAGAAATCAAAAAACTGTTTGTCTCATAACTAGCTTGTACAATGAAATTTCCCATCATTGTGATATATGCTTTGAAGTGCATAAATTATTATTGAAGAGTTGGCAAGATGGACAAGGAATGTTGAAACTGGCAAAACTTGGAGGCCAATTCATTTCAAGGGATGCCACATAAGTGACACATCAAATATAAAGTCTTTTGAAAGAAGGAAAATAAGAAACAAATTTGTCCCTTTTGTCTTTTGAGAAGTGGGACACTGGAAGTAGAAAAGTTTGAAGACCGGACGAGTATTTTGGGACGAAGGGAGCGGAGAAATCGACTGCAAAGAACCGTGCGATGAACCGTGCGTAGAGCTGTGCGATGGCGCCAGATCCGCAGGTGCCTTGGGGTTAATTCGATCATAAGGTTTGTCCGAGACTTGGAGACGAGGCCGGCGCAATCTTTGCTTGCGGTGCTCCGTCAGCCGGGAGTGCCCCGCCTTCGACACTCGACGACGCAACATTGCAGAGACCGATGATCCGGAATTATCAGCATCATCATCATCATGATACAGGATATTTGAAGCCTTACGCACTTCAATACAATGCAGAGCAATCGCTTTAGGCGATGCTCCAGTGGTCTTCAGCCAGATTGATGTCGATAGGCAGGATATTTTAAGGTGCAGAGTGATATATTTCCCATGGCGATCCTAATGGGATTCTATTGGATCCTAGCCCCATTCTACCATCTCGGTTCTACCCCGAAGAGGTGGATGGGTTTTCGATTTGGAAGACTTGTTTTCAATACCATGCGTTACAAGTGCGCCGGACGAGAGGAGAGTGCTACTCCTTCAGCATGGGGCCTCAGACAAAGGGGCATATCATCGAGTACGATCGGCCCCAATATTGGATTAATTCATCTGCCACGGTCAGAAAGAAAACTTTTTGGGAGAGGTAACGAGACAAATATGCCACTTTTGCATGCCCGCTTAAAGAAAAAATGATGATGTTTTCATGATCAAGCTTTGCGGTTTGAAAGAGATACCAAATCTTTGTTCTTGAAAAAGTTTTCCATCTCCCTATTTCTTACGTCCCGGTGGCCTATTTCAGGCTCTTGCAGGACAGTTGACCCCTCTAATCCTTTCATCCCTTGTGGCTCTCTCACTTCGATCACAAATCATAAGTCGTATTCACTTGAAAAGATGCTTTCAGGAAAGGAGATACTTACCTGACAGAATATAAACCGTCCAGTATTAAATAGATAGGGTTCATATTCATCAGAATTCGAGCTCATATAATCAATCGATCTATTATTTCTGCGAGCATCGTTCTGTTCCTCGCGTCACTTGATCACAGCACTTTTTAAACGCTTAAAAGCTTGAATGATACCTTTCAGTTTGAATCCCCGTTTAGTGGCCCGAGGTGACCGAGAGATAAAGATGGAGGAGGGTCCAAAGTCTGTCGTGATCAGTATTTGCACAAGGAAGGTTTCAAGTACAGGAGTTGTACACGGCAGTGGATGACACGACGAAGTGAGCGACCCACTTTTGGGTGGGATGGATGGGTAATGCATAATGACGAACGTTGCGCAAGGAGGTGACAATGTGATGCCATATCTTTGTCCTCTGATCTTGCTCATCATGAAATTTTTGTTGTGTTCCTCCGACCCAAACCACTTTGTTCAGTGTCTCTATTTTGATTTGATATCGACCATCGAGGTCAGGCGCGACTTGCGAATACTTACAAGTCGAAAGATGCTCCTTCCAATAGCTTTTCCCATTTTCACATCGCATCCGTTCTTACTTTTTCGTCCGTCTTCTGGCCTTCCTTCTTCCTTTTTCTTTTTTGTCTATAATGAGCTGAACTGCGTTTCCTAAAGCGACTGCCAGGTGGTAAGCATGCCTTGGAGCCCTCTCTCTCCCCATCCTTTCTTCCTATGGACGTTTGATGCTAATACTCATGTTTTCGCCGAGTTTGACGCTCTGCATGAGTTTCAATGCTATTACAGAAGCCGAACCAGATGAATCTGGTCCATTGCGAGATAGTACTTCTTTCAAAAGACTCACCCGAGACGAGCTGCTTTTTAGATGACGGAATGTAAGAACCCTGACACCGTACATCAACGTTTTGCTATTTACATGCTGGTTGGGATGTTTTAGTGAATCAAAAATGAATGGCGACTTTCGATTATATCATCCAGTTCAACAACATCAGTGATGGTGAAGATGTGAGTGAAAGTTGTGTCACGAAACATGGAGAGCATCTAAAGTGATTGATGTTGGACTAAATTACTCTGCTGGTTTCATCTTTGTTCAATTATATAGGCATTTCAGTGAACCGAGTTTCCCTCGCGAACTGTTCGTCTCCGTTTTCCATGTCATTTCTAAAATCGAACAATTAAAATAACAGGAAAAATTCAAATGACAGAAAGGCAAGAATGAATGCATTTCAAAATTAATAAAAATGATGTCAGCATAAATCACATGAGCAGCTTTATATGTCGAGAGTTGACAATGATTCTGAATTTCCTGGATGTCGTAAGGAAGATTGCACCCAAAGCATATGGTATACGGCATCTCCCTCTCATCTGGAAATCCAAGGGGAATCTGCCATAATTTGCATCTGCAAGTTTGTGCTGTTGTATCTCATCATAGCCGACTCTGCCAACCAGGTCTATCAGTTTTCTCTTTTTCCCTTTTTTTTCCTCTAGCTCTAATATCAACATCATTGTAAATCATTTGTCTGCGTCTTCATCAGTTTTAACATTATCATTGTTTATTCACATCTCGGTCAACAACCTCAAAGCGCATATGGCTTGCCCAAATTGTCCTTGCAATGATGTTTAGTCTGCAGGCCATGAGAATTAGTGAATTCTCACGCCTGACTGGTTAGCGTCCCAATGATCGAAGGTCTGAGTTGGAGCTGAAGAAAAAGACCAAATTCTGTTTTCACGGCACTCCTCGTCGACACTGGACCCGGAGCCTGGTGGCAGGTGAACATTTTTCTGAAAAAGTCACCTCAGCCGCCATTCCTTTTGCGCCCTAATAGTTTATTGATTCCGTTTGATAGTCTTGGAGGCACCTTCAAAAACTCATCACTGGATTGGGATGCCCTAGCGCCGAGACGGTGGAGGCTCTAATGGACAAGTCTTGTTGCATCCACTGTTCCAATAGGTGCATCCAAATTCTCGTTCTTAGGGGTTTCGATCTTCTTTTAGTGGTACTAGAGACCTCCTCGAGCACGGAATTCAAGAAGCCTTTCATGTCTTTTTGGATAAGGAACCAGAAGATACATCCGCATTCTAAACATTGCATGACTTTGGGTGTAAGACTGGGAACAAGAAGATCATCTGGCACGGTTTAGGTCAAAGCGGATAGCACGTCTTCGTCGTAAGTGCATATGGTAACATGGGAATATACCCTCAATAGTTTCTTCTTTCCATCCATGAGTTATTAGTAAGATTCAATGCAACGAGCACACCAATAGCGTTGGCTAACGCTAATGGTGGGCGGTATGGATATGCATGACTTCAAACTGGTCGACGAGGCCAAGGGCAGTGGAGTATGAACTAGCAGTTAAGAATGTACGGTGAATCGAAGTTATACTGATCATGCTTCTCGTTTTGTGATCTGTCTCGTCCAGGGGTACTTCTATCAGAGTCCTGATCAGGTGGTTCCGCAAAGCGAATTCTCGGAAAGCTGTTCTTCTTTCCCGCAGTTTGTTGGACAGATGGGCGAGCTCGGAGACAAGGAGTCGACGAGTGTAATCAAACCTCCGCCTCCGTGGAATGGAAAGCTCATCGTTAAGTTGATGGCTTGTTGGCGGCACGATCCAAAAGCGATGCGGCCTTCATGTCCGAAAGCAGCTGCAAGATCGTTGCTATCAAGACAGCCACCTCGAAAAAGTCGTACCGGAAGTCTGGAATCATGAAAGCCGATGCCAAAAGAGGAGAGAGAGAGAGAGAGAGAGAGAGAGATTTTGATTGTACAGCGTGCTCGGCGCCACTTCCTTCGTCCTCCCAGTTACCGCATGCACAGCTCTGGACCCGCTGATTTCCAAGGCAAGTCTGCCCTCGGTGCATTCATTCTTTCTCGTAGGCGGCAAAAGCTGCGAAAGAAACAATGTTCTTGTGGATCTAATCAGTGCCTTAGTAATTATACTTTTCTGGTCTGTTCTTAGAACCAGAGAGCTTGTAGATATTCTGCCCGAAAAGCTCGGAACGACTATCGTGCCCAAGATGTCTTCGACATTGCCCTCACTGACTCACTACATTAATGTTTGTGATGGTTATTCATGACCTTTCTGATGGCGCAGGAGTTCAGTGACCTATGGATTCTGTTCGTTTTAGTGGGCGTACGGGGCAGCTTATGAAGATTAATCCTCTTGTCTTGATATACTCAGAATGCACTATGGTGTTTCAATGGGACATGATGCATCAAAGTTTCAATATTAAAATCCATAGTTATAGTAGTGATGATTCTACATCTTAGACCCATGTAAAATACATCCGTATAGCAACTTAATATATCAAAAAATCACATAAGTTCTACCCACCATATAGAACATTGGCATACTCGCGCTGAACAGGTGTTTTGAGATTAACAATGTTATGTGTTGTGCAACTTGATTGTTTGACTTGCAATTTGATTGGTTTATCAAAAGCCAAACTTAGAGGTGTAGATTTGATGGTGTTCTGATTTTTTAGGGGCAGACTAGGGCTACACCCGCTTTTGCTACGGCCACACCGGCCCGCTCATTACCATGTCCATGCCCGCTTTTGCTACTACCCAAATGCACTGCTGCTACAACCCAAGCGCACTTTTGCCACTACGCAAAGCGGTACAAGCGGCAGCAAAGCGGGAGACAACGACGTCCGCATCGGCCCCGTGACTCTCGAAGCCTCTCGCTACGCTCTCCTCTGCCTCGTGGATTTAACTCGATTTAGCAGTTGGGTTTGAGGTGATGCGTGCTTTGACGCGCAATCAGTTGTGTGTATGTAGTGGGTGTGGCCGTAGCAAAAACGGGTGTGCCCTAGTCTAGCCCGATTTTTTAACAACTAAATAGCAACCAGGATCAGAAGACCCTAAGATGATGGGTAAGTGGACCTAATAGCATACCAATAATATCATTTTGAAAATTTATGTCATAATTCATTTTAAATGTCAAAAGCTTCTAAGTCAAAATATTTTAAAATTACACTAGCGTTTGAAAAATCATCACTTTATGTGTTTGGGATTTTTTTTATTACAGTTCTAGTGATCTCTATAAAGCAACAGATCTAACTATACAAAAGTAGAAAAGAAATGATAGTCATGCCACATGATATTCTATATTCTTGTTTATTGTTTACTCTCTCACAAAATGTCAAAGATGCCGTCCACAATTTCTTTTAATCTTGAGATTGGTTTTGACATGATTTTTATACCCTGATGATCATGGATTCGAGATTAAAATAATATCGAAATCATTGTAAGAAGAAGTTAGAGTTATCTCTTGAGGCCAGATTTTATTACTCCGTATTCAAAAAACATGTTTTCCTAATCTTAACTCATTACAATGTTGGCATGCTATCCATACAGTAATAAAAAGAACAACAAATTTTCTATTTATTACAAGTAGATACATGTAGATCAATCTTTTAAAAAATATTTCATGCATATTCGATATGTCTCAAATATGTAATTATTTTAATGTAATGTTAGAAAAAAAAAATTTCTTATCTGTATTTAAAATATTTTTTTATAATCGTAAAGTTAACATAACTTTATAGAGAACGGAGGGTTTATAAGTTAACTTTTCTGGAGCAATTAAAATATTTAATATTTGATATATATGTCCAATGCATATTGATTGATCTAAGATTTTTTCATGCAAGTAATGAGTACTACGCTAAACAAACTTCAACGTGTTGAAATTGTGCTTACAGTAAAAGGTTTATTTTCGAATTATATTTGCCTACGCATTCTCTTTAAAATATTTTAATCTGATGAAAATAACATCAAATCAAGTAAAAGATGTTAGATTCTAAAATATCATAACAAAAAATTATTATTAAAAATTGGTCTTTGAAGTATTCTAAAAATAGTTTCCTTCATATTATGAAGTGTACAAACATTGATAAACAAGAGAGTGTTCTCAAACCTTCGGTTTACCTTCGTGAAATGTAATTACTCTGTGCAATCGCTGTGAAAGATCAAAAGAAACTCAACCTTATTGAGGTGTAACTTTGCGTATTGTAAACAGCAGTTTTTCATGATGGCCCCGAGATATTCGTGAAGACAGCTAGTGGTGGGACATTGCGCTGTGATCGCATGTAGGTGGTCTTCGAGTACCAATCCGCTTGGACTAATTCCTCGATCTTCTTGTATCGAGTGTAAAAAACTGATGCGAACAAAGCGTGCTCTGAAATGACTCGATGCATGTTAGCAGTGAGTCAAACTTCGCTGTTTAACAAAACATAAGGAAAGAATAGAATTTATGGTCCAAATTTCCCTAGAGTTGAACTCAAAAGCTTATAGAATAGAACAAGATCTGTCCATGCGGTGCGACGATTTCGCATTAATTTCAGTTGCAGGAATCAAACCAGTGCATGTTTTGTTGTGTACACACAATGAATAATTCTGATAGTACAGAGCACCTTGACAAGAATTGCTCTATCGTCGAGACTGGAGGAAAAGAAGAAAAGAGAGTTGGGTGGGGGGCGAGGGAATCAAAGTGGCATGTGCATGAATGTCCTCCCACATCGTTGTTTATGGTGGAGATAGGAAACCGAAGAAATTTTTAATCCAAGGGGTTGATGTCCTCGAGGCGTCACTTACTATCATTGACTAGATCTTCGCTTTTGACACTTGAACCAAAGTGAGAATGTCCGACTGATTATATGGTGAAAAATCCGTAGACTCTTTTGGCATTAGGGCACATGTGTATTCAAGTAGGGATAATCATCGGCGAAGGCTCCTCGTGTTGTGATGTACCTCCAACAGCGTCACAAATCTAGCGTCACCGTCCTCGAAAAAGATCGGCAATCTTTCCTTTCCACTTCAAGCTGATGTACAACCCCACACATAACACACTCCCCGCCTGATATTTCCCATCTTCACCCATGTAAACCGAGCGCACAAGCACGAGTATTATTTCGCAACCCCCAGCCGAACTAGAACAAGCACTCATTTATTATCACCGGGGGACCAGGAAGCCATATCTCTCGTAAATCTGCTCATGAAATATATTACCGGCGACGAGTCATCGACCACCCACTCTCGCTGACAACAATGAGTCCAGACAGTGATTGACTGTCCTCGACTCCAAGGAATTACAAGATCGGAATCCAAAATGATTGCCCGCGCCCACCAGCGCCCCGGTCCATCCCATCCCAGTCCAGCCCCATTCACTGTCATGAAAGGTGGTGCAAATCCGAATGAGAAACATGCTCCATCGTCCTCCCCCCCACCCTCGGTCATTCTCATTCGATTCTATCATCGTGCATGAAATCCACCACGGAATGATCCTCCCCGAGTTCTGAGCTCTGCCCACGCATCCGAAGACCTGCCAAGCTCTCATTGGACGTCGTCGACCCAATCGGGGCTGGTCCTGCCTCACAGGCCGGAAAGACTTCAACGCTGAATCTTCCTCCTCCTCCTCCTCCCCCCGGCCCCGAACTGCACGAGGAGAGCCGTCGGATGAATACCGAGAGTATAGAGAAGACTTGCAGGTCGCCGGTCGCCGGACACCGGCTGGGGCCGGGGACTTGTCGTCAACCCCAACACCCGTGGGGGGAGCCGGCCGGTGCTCGTATCACGGACAGCCCCGAATCCGCTCCCGGCTCCGACAAGCGCACAGACAGCCCAAGATTCCTGCGTTGTCGCAGTAGATAAGGGCGACCGGAGCGTCGTCGACTGTGGAATCATGCGATGCGGATATGGCCGACTAAAGAGATCGAATCAACCGGGTTGGCCTCACTGAGCCCAGTCCACTATTTCCGGTACTTTGTCCGGTCCGGACTTACGTGTGGCTCATGGGTCTGCCCATCCTCCGCTTCGGTGTATTACTCGGTTCCACTTTCTCTCCGGAGCATATTACTGAACTCTGACATGATCCATCTCATTGCCTGTACACAGTATCTGCGCAACTGTATCCAATCCCACTCGAGCAGTCATTTCTAAAGAGAGCCTGTAAATATTCTTATGAGGGATTAAACTGGGGATTAAAAAATTTGGTTAATTTTGTAACTGGAAAAAGAATAATTTGGTGATTCATTTTGGGAGTTTGAAGCTCGGGTGGAAAATTAGAATTTTGGTGTTGAGGCCGAAGAACTAACTATGTACTAGGTGGATATAGTCGGGTGTTATTCGAGCGTAGTTAGCAGCGTGTAACTTGGTAAAATGTGATAAGCGACGGGGTCGTCGTCGTCGTCGTAATAGTCCAAGGAGCGGACCGCAGTCGAGAAGCACTGTTGTGGGGCATGGATGGGATCATGAGATGAGCGCCAATGCCATTTCGTCGGCATTAAGTGCAGGGCGAGGAAGGTCGGGATCCGAACGACGTACCGTGGGGCAGCAGCATAGGCGGCCCCGGCCGCTATTTATAGCTCTCGGAGCCATGAGGGCGCGCGGACCAAGGCACCACCGGAGCGTCCCCGGGCTTCTTCTTCTTCTTCGCTCTTCGGTTCCTGCCTCGGGGCGCCTCACGGTTCAAACTTCAAATTGTGGCGTCCGCTTCCGGGGCCGCGCGTTAATGACGCGCGGCCCCCGACGGCCCGATGTGGCCCATCCGCGCCTCTGGCCTCCCTAGAATAATCGACTGGTGCCGGGCGCTTCCCCTGCCTCGGGGGCCGAGGTCGCGGTCTTGAATCTGCCTTCTCGACGCAGCGATCGCAGCGCGGTGAGCATTTGGAGGCTTTCTTGTTTCTTTCATTCGGTGACAAGCTCTGGGCCTGCAGGTCTGACACTCTTCTGTACCTATTTTCTGTGTCCATGTGTCGAATTGCTTTTTTTCCCCTTGTGCGTGATCTCCTTTTCTCTTCTTTCGTCTTTCGGATCTTTGGGCGTTTGGTTCGTGTGAAACTGGAGCGGCTGCTAAGGTATTGAGTTTTTGCGGAGATGAGCACATGAAGAATGCAATGACGTCGTTGCAAGTTGTTCGTTGTGGGACATGATTGTGGTGCGCACATATTGTGCATGAATTTTGTGTGTCGACGAAAGAACGCAGCTCTTCATGGGCTGCACGCTCCAGTTAGTTTTTATTACGATAGATGGTGATCACGGCTCGGTCTTTCGGTGGGAAATGGTTTTTTTTTTCCTTAGCGCGGAGATCCATAGCAACAAAGCGTAGGAGGGTTTATGGAGGGGTGCTCTCCCGATATCCTTGTGTTGCTAGCGACTACACAACCGACAAGCATTTGCATTATTATCCTTGCCCATCTCTTCTCATTATTTCCGAAAAAAGACGGCGAAAGGAGAGTAGTTGGTGGTGGAGGTGACGATATGCCCCGGCTTCCCTCCTTTGTAGGACAACTTGGGCGGCCTCATAGAACTTTGTAGTACCATGTAACATAGCAAAAAGGATGGGAAGTCCCCATCAAGTGGTACATGGATGAAACCAAAAGGTTAATAGAGGGTATATACATATCTGTAGCCGGTTTGTATTTTGTAAAGTATGTCTCAAAGTATGTAGAGTTGGTAAAAGATCGCCAGAGATTGAGATGGACGACTCCCCTTTACATCACACTTACGAGAGTGATGAAGCCGTATTTAGAAAAGCGCTCGTCTACTGTTGAACTGTATTGTCCATTGGTTTCAAAGGGCAACATGTGGTTTTTTTACTGTTCCAAATTGGCTCGCTTTGATAGACTAACTTTTTGCAACTACTGCTTTTCTGTTGTAGAGTGGAAGTAATATGGTCGTTCAATTGGAGATTGTGCCGATTCAAATTTGAAAGTTTTAACTGAACAGTTTAGGTACGGAGTCTACTTTCAGTTACAGGCACAACCAACAATACATACAGGTAGAGTTGCTTGAATTGGACTCAAATGGTGAAAGGATTGGTGCGACTTCAAGGGTAGCCACATATATCAATGGTAAAAGTATGTTTGAGCTGCAGAATTTTTGAAGGAGCGAGCAAGTGTATGATACAGATGTTGCCAGCGCTAGACCTTTGGAGATATCGAGTTTGGATACCTTTTTCTACTCTTTGGAAGCCCAGGACCGGTTGATTACTCATTTGTTTATTCGAATAACTATCATGGAAGACTTGCTGTCCGAAGGATGAATCATATACCGACATAAAGTAAATTTATGTTCTTTTGGAACGTAGAATGGATGCAAATCCCCAAATCCATTGAGGGGATTCTCAAATAACACGCTTTACATTGGAGCTTCCAGCGGCAATCAATCAGTCTATCATCTGGTGGATACAATCTGCTCTTAGCTAGATGATCAGCATTGTTCGGAGGTCTCCATAAATGCATTGTACCGACACTCGTCGAAAGTCATACATAAAACATAAAAATATCCATTACAATATGTCTCCAAGGACTTCGTAAAAGAGGATATCACTTTCTTCCCAAATCAAGCATCAGATGAAATTTTTGTTGGGTTTGTGGGGATGTCTCGATATCCGGAAGCACCGACTATAAGATTGAGGTTGCTGTCAAGTGATTTGAGTCAGAACTCTCGATATAATTGGAGCAAAACACTCATCTCGCACCACCGAAGGTAACATTTCGCCTGAATTAATTTACAGTCCTCATGCGGTTTTTCATTATGTGACGCACTGAGTGGGTCCATGGTTCAAGTTTCCAACCGCATTTTCCCAGCTTTAGCAGAGATTGCATCGACCCGAGACTAACGTCCACTCAACTGGTTTCCTGTTTGTTTGTAATGGGCAGACTTCGATGCGTATGGCAACAGTTGCTAGCAGTTGGATTTGCCAGATTTGTGGACCATCCTCAGGTGACCTTGGTGCTCGCACAGTGGGGTCAGGGGAAAGCTAAAATTAAAACGGGATTAAGTGGACATGTGAACAGCGAACGCATCAGCGCTTTCTGACCTGCAGTACATTCTGAACATGGAGCCAGTCAACCTCGAGGGTGAAGCTCACGGACTTGCTGGAAACCTAAAATAAAGGAGGCCTGGATATCGAAACTGTCAGTTCTCAGCAGTTAGGAACTGCTACATTCGCAATAAGAGGGCTTCGTTACAGCACCGTGTCAAGGTTGACGCTAATATTAACCTCGAAAACTTGATGGGGTTTGAAAGAGGAAGAACCACTTTGCCCTCGCATTGTCTTTAAACTCGGCTTGGCAATTGGCGAGCAAAAGAGTTCGCAGATCTCCACGGAAGGTCGAAGAAGAGGGAACCATCTTCCAAGGTCTAGAGAGCATGATGGCCACGAAAAGGTTTCCGGTCTGAAAAAGCAAAAAGCTCTGGACAGATGGTTATCAGACAACTTCCACCATGGCCTTTTTGACCTGCATTTGTCTACACTCGCGGCTTCAGAAATTGTCGACCAGACCATCCTCGAGGCTGAACGGTTCTATAAAAGGGGCAGGTTCTGAGCAAAGGTTCGGATGAAAAAGCAACGCAAATGAAATCTCGAGTGACCAAGCTCGTCCAGGATTTTAACGACAGTCTCTGGTCTGGTTGTGAGAAAAGCCAAAAGATTCCTACATGAAATAGACTGATGAAGGAGCAAACCACTCGTACCCCCGGGGACCTGCTTTCTCTACACACCCCAATAGTGGTGTACCCAGACTGGTCGACAACCTGGTCCTAAAAAAAGGAGGGAAAAGAAACGAGCGACTAGCTGAGGCAAGTTCTCAGTCTGCACGGTCGACATGCAAAAGAACGAAGTAGTTCTCGACCTCCTACCGGAGTGATACCCGCGCTTGACTTGGATTTAGTCAACTCCAGCGAGGTAATCGTGAGATTCCAAAGTCAAGGAGAAAAATAATAGAACTCCAATCTTCTTACCCGCCTGATTTAGTGTACGACGAGTAAGTAATGTTTTCGGAGTCTGCTCTTTCAGTGAGAACAGAAGAGAATAACATCTCTCTTGTTGTAGTAACCGGATGATGAACCCTCGCAGGTTTGAACACGGGATTTGACCACGCACCAAAAAATTGTAGCAGATCGAAGTAGACAAGCCGTTGCGCTATCAATAGATGGGAAGGCGAGTCAGATTTGCTAAGACAGCGAGTATGCTCTCGTCGGGACGAATGTGAACAAGTTCCAAGAACCCATCAGCTTTACAGAGGACAAATCGAAAGGCAATTACAGAGCCAAACAAGAAGGTCGAGGGAATCAAACTATTTCGTAAAGTCAACCTCGGGTGGAGCAGATTCGTCGCCCCACTTTCTCATTCTTAACTCGCTTTATCTCTCACCAGCTCGGAGTGGCCCAACAAGGCTAGCGTGGGCAGTGATAGAGGGTGGGTGGGACGATCCCGTGAGAATATATATGTGGCATTTAACGTGAAAAATGGTGTCGTTACTGTCGAGTACTGGATTAGAGTGCGCTTTGACTCAGAATACGTCATGTCTCATAATAAACTCACATTTTTACGAGACCTTAGAACATATTACAATTGTTGATCTTTTGCTGTCTTTGACACTTCTCTTGAAAGATTCGCGAGGAACGAAGCTGATGTTGAAAGAGATGGGGAACTGCAGATGGACATGCAGTTGTTGAGCCTAAATTCAGAGAGAGGCCAAATGCCTGGGGTCCAAAGCTCAAGATTAGACTGGACTACAGCTGCGTGGCACTCCCTCGGATCTGCTCAGACCTTCTCCACATTCACCAATTTCTTGAGGTAATTTAGGTGGAGAATCTGTGCCAGCACTACAGAGACAAGATAAATAACAATCTCTAAGTTTGATGAACTTCGTCTTGTGTTTCGAGGTTCCATAGTGGTTACAGTGCGTGCTGCTCCTCATTTCTTGGAACTAGTCGGTGGCCAGGGTGCACCAGCCATTACAGCCTCCACATCGGCGATCTCTCGAGGACAGTTGGTCAGATTTTCACAACCGTCAGCCGTCACCACCTGTGCACGCGCAAGGGGCTCCACATCAACTTCAGAGTGCCACAAGCAGATTACCCTGACCTTGCGGACGCTCATCTACTCATTCATTCATATAGCTCAAAGGAGGGGCAAACTTAGTTGCAGGTACACACATCCGACGAATATGCGAAACACGAAGGCCAGAGATATCACAGAGCCCGACGTTAGCAGCAAGTAATCATTGCCAGAAGATAACAAAACATGTACCAAACAGTCCCAATCTAAGGATGCTACTCACCACGTCATCTTCGAGTCTCACGCCACCGAACCCTCGTAATCTGTCGATATTCTCTTTCACAAAAAAGCTGGATGTGAGGGGATCCTCCATAGCGGGATCCAACAAGGGATCAATGAAATAACAGCCTGGTTCAACGGTCAGTACCTGTATTGGCAGAAGACACTGGCTTCAGGTTTTCATTGGAAAATCAGCTCCACAGCAAAACGCTTGATGTGATCGGTAATATCGTCACTCCTGTTGAGCTTCGAGAACGAGGCCGTCAAACTCCAGAAGTAATGTTCAGATGCTAAATGCAAGAAGTATATTCTCATTGCTGTGGAAGCTTGAACTGAATGAAGAATTGCCGTACCATCCCTTCTCGAAGATCTCGCACGGTCCTTAACGAGCTGAGGCCGGGCTCGCTGGGCCTTTCCGTACCCTGCCAGAGGAAATAGCCAACAAAAGGAGGAAATGAGAATTGTCAGCATGAACACAGAGGAAAACGAATCAGGAGGTGATTTCTTGTACCGATAAACTTGTATTCTTCTGAGGACAAGCGACAATTTCTTGCCTGGGGGTAGCCACCGGTATCGTGGACGTCCAGCCCCATGAAGTGTCCCAGTCCATGGGGCATAAATACAGCTCCCAGCCTTGCCGCCATCATGGCCGCCACATCTCTGAAAGAAACAGAAGGAAAAATCTCGATTCAGATGCAGTCGAAATTCTTTCAGAGGTTGGTCAGGAAGGAAAAAATTTATCAAGAGAGGTAAGAAGGCTGACTGAAACGCTGACCATCACAGCCTCCACTTTACGAAAGTAGAAACTGAAAGATTCATGGCTTTTCCTTCCAATCTTCACTCACGTTTCTAAATTGAAAAATCTTGCAGGAATGCTGCTGAAAGAACTTCACGAGGAAATTCACTTTTCAGTTCAGAAGTGACGACAAATGAGAGAGCACGAGGGGACGCAGGTCCAGATACTTTACCCTTTCAAGAACCCAGCGGCCTTCAAGTTTTCCAGAATCTTCTCTTCAGCCAACCTGCGAATCATGCTCTTGCCTTCCAATTCAATACGTGAAGACATCAAGGCAGGAGAAAGCACGAGACAGATGAGCATTTATCAGACACCAATCGCTCGTGAGAGCTAAGTATCATACTCCAACTCATCACAATGTAATACTTTTCATTTGTCCAAAGTCCAAAGTCCAGTGATTACTTGTGCATGTCCACCCAGTTCACCCCAGGTTTCATTTGCGACATAACGGCCTTCTGAGCTTTCAGGACAGCCTGCACATGGAGCATATTTGTATACGCAAGTAGCAACATAGACAAATTGAATAAAACACAATTCTGATCATGCAGGATTCAGTTGATGGGTGAGTGTTGACCGCATCTTAAATGGAATTTTACAAGAAACGGATGGCCCATTGGTCAAAAGCCAAATTGAAAGTGGTAAGGAAGAAGCCATCTACCGCACACTCCACTGATGAGCCTGTCATCACGTCCGGCACTCAATCACTCACCTCATAGATGATTTTCTGATCAGCGGTGAATTTTCCATTGATCTGCAAGGCTCAACGATATCCCGTCAGGTGCCTATCTATCCAGGTTTTGAGCTTGCGTAATGACTATACATCAGTAAATAGTCTCGTTCTTTGCAGTAAAGTTGCCGATGAAAACTTGAGTTCAGTCCAGACCGTCTACAGACTCTCAAACTCCTCCTTAATTCATTCACTTGGTGCCCCACTCTGTCTCGCAAGAGCCTCTAGAGGTAAGCCATTGGCATGTCACAGGTCCAGATGCACCATTCCTTCCAGAAGTCAAGTGTAAAATCGTCTAGAACATTCCATACCATATATCAATACACTATTCGCCAATCTCTGTCTACGGTACACCTTACGACTGAAGCCATGGGTTTGGACTTGCCGGATAGGAGCAGGTGATGTCAGATCCATAACAGCCAAACTCGGCACCCATATCCAACAATGCCATGTCACCATCCTTTAACGTCTGTACAACAGAGAGCATGAGTTGGATCAGTCTCGGCACGACTCGAATCAACGAGGGCCAAAGCGTCATATTTGAAAATAACCAGCAGTACAAGGCAGTGATGCATACCCGGTCGTTCGGAGCTGCAGCATGGCCATAATGCAGAATGGAGCTGGTCAAAACAATAAGTACGAACCAGTTACTTTCGTGCACAGAAATCATGGATCATCGTATAGTTTTTTCAGAAGAGCTAAGGAGAAACAGACCATAACTTCAACGGATGTAAAAGCGGGCATGACACTGATGTTACAGAAAGGCCTGATTGCTGAAAGACAGCCTGCTGAACTTGAGCTCTTATTGTTTATGGAAGAAGTGGAGAAAGACCTGTTCGGTCCGGTTGCACAGATGCAAGTATACGAGACGTATCGGCAGCCACCATTATAATAGACTTCATGCAGGAATATGCTTTCAAGTTGGTACTCTTTCATTCCTGGCTTAGCACTTCTCATGACCTGGTCAGTGAGGCAGCGGATAGTCAGTTTTCTGTGGCTATCTTTAGAGCTGACATGTCCCTATGGTTTACACATGTTATAACCCAAGCCCGACGAAAATTAACACTCGGTCTTCTTGATGTCGTCAGCAGTTGCAGTTACGGACAATGAAAACGAAGTGCAGCAATGGTTTCAGTAAGCTTCTGAAAACCCCTTCACTAGTCTAGGTAAGATTTAGCATGCGCGAGTAGAAAAGGGTACCTTGACATGTGCAGCAGAGCTGACTTTGTTTGTGTAACGAAGAACGTCTAGCTCCAACTTCGTTTTCAGTACACGGCATTCACTCATAACGGGATGCAGAGTTATGCGATCCGCCGCAAAGTCCTCTAAACCCTGCAAGATTTGTGGAAACAACATGGAATTAGAGTTTGACACCTTTCTCAAAGGTATGACTTAGGCATGACTGGTCTCAAACCTATACCCAGAACCACTCCGGTGAGTTTATCTAGAAGCAGAATCGAACCTCGTTATTTTCATTTGAATTTTCAAACTCCCTGCCTGTAGCAATCCTGCTGATTTAGAAAGTGAATTATGGAACTTGCCGGAAAAGTGGCGGGCTTGGAGTAGAGCCCACTATCAGAATTCTGACCATATAAAAGGAACAGAAGAGCCTTGCCCTCAGCATTCAGCTCCTGTTCTTTTAGAATGCCTGTCATTTCGTCCACGTAGTACGCATCATCAACTGCATACTTCTCCTACTCAACGTGAGACAAAGCAGCAAAAACACCAGAATTTAGCACATTCACACAAGTTATGATTTGACAAGAGGGAGCTGGAACTTCGTCTCTACGATGGCCTAGCGAGGTACCCTATTCTCGTTAACTTATTAGTCACCAATTTCAATACACAACATTGGCAATATCTTTCACTGAACGACATGATTATTAACAACCATACTAGAGTGCCACTTGCCTCCCTCGGAACCTCTGATACTACAATCTCATTCAAATTCCGTTCCAGTGCACAAGGTCGTACCTTGAAGTGCTCAGGGGGCTCGATTTTGCCTTGCCAGACTGCATATGATGGATCCAACCTCGGTACAAACAAATATGACCTCGAAGTTGCAATGTCCTGTCATGAGTGCCCTTCGACATCAGATCTAAGCAACGCAGAGAGTCGTGACCATGCAATCAGTTGCGTGGACTATACAATCAACGAACGCATATCTTCTTCAACCATCAACATGCGTTCAACAGCACTTACAATTGCCCCATATAAACCTGGTTCGATGACACCAAAGAGGTATGCAAAGTAGCTTTCCTGCCTGCAAATCATTTGATTATATTTCAAACCTTAGAACTGGTCTTAGAAATATTTTTCTGTTGATGCTCTTGTGCATAATCGTTCCAGACAAAATGCAAGCAATAGAATGTCATGAAATGCTAATAAATTACGCAGAGTAGGCCTATTTTCATAAATTACAGGGTCACGATTTTGGAAAACAGGCACCTGAACAGGTCTACTCCATCTGTGCAATATCTGCTGTGCTCCTCACCACCCTGAACATACAACCGACCAATCGTCAGGCTCAACTGTCGTCATATGACAACTCCAATAATGTTTAACCCATACTGAATCTCCCGATCTGCATTGTGAATGGACTTCTTCAGGGGATATAACAAGTAGCTACCAATTTACTTGTAAGACTGTATTACTCTAATCTCTACTTCTCACTAATAAGAAACTTGAACATTTTATCATGCAGGCACTTAAAGGAGCGCCCCAAACTGCTTTTAAAAGTTTGCTTTTTACAGGCTTTACACAATCCGAATAGATCAACGACAGTCTGAATCTTCAGTCCAATTGATCACATTGTGCACTGAACTTCGCCAGGATGATCAACAAAGTGCTGCAATGTATAGATGGGGTAATACTAAGGACAAGGAACCAAAGAGCAAGCCAATGCAAAAACGGGACCCCCCGGAAATTTGGCTCTTAGAGATTACGACCATCAATCAGCAACACATCAAGTTGCTTTAAAAGCGCTCTCTCAATACATTTTGATTCGAGACGATGTCAACTAAATAAGAACTGACAAGGCGTACAGCACGAGCAGGAAAGGAGGCAAGCAGGAAACAACCAGAAAGTTTCCAAGAATTCAGCACATGGTTATGAGACAATGTCTCCCGCTCCAGAGAATAAAAAATTAAGCTCGATGAACTCAAGTGATGCGGAGGAAGGAAGAATCAACCTGCAGCAGTATTATGCCCTCCAATGGCCTACTCTGTTCCAGTAAACGCTGCTTCAGAGTCGAGATTGTTTTCAGCCGATTCGTCTGATACAATTCCACTGGAATGACAAACGTCTCCACTTCATTTCCGTTCTCGACCTCCATGCTTTAAGGAATGGGCTGCCAACACGCCGTCAAGCAGTCTGCTATCGGACTGAGCGGCCCACAAAGAGGTTTTGGCCTTTCTTCGACTTGATCGTCTCAATTTTGGGTCAAATTACATCTCCTCTCTGACACGCTGCGCTCTGATACCGATCTTCACCCTTGCAAAAGTGAATATCTTGGGCCCGTCGTCTCCGGATCTCCAAAGCTTCACGAAACGTGTGGTCAATCTCACCCATTTCTGGACCGGCGGGCTGCGCTTTGCTTTGCTTTGCGTGCAATCAATGCATGCCTTCTGTCGGAACTGAACGAGAGAGCAAAATCCTCGTGGGGTGAGTGCTGACAGAGGATGGATAGGAATACAGAGCTTGATGCTCTCTGCAGAGCTAAAGGGCAAGCCAAGGATGTGATTTGCTTTCCAGTTCATGTACTACCTGATCTTGTCCGCTTGTAAATTACGTACTGTATTCTTTTGTCACGGATCTTTCGTCTTTCGTCTTGACGAGTTTTCGACTTGTTGCTGTCCAGGATCCCCACTTAAACAATGGACAGGTACTCGGACATGCACGTTGAGATGAATTTGGTACGAAGGCAGATTTGAGCGCAAGCCAAGGTTGAGCAGGTTTAAAGTGATTTCTAGTTCATGTACCTCCTGATCTTGTCCTCGTGTAAATTACGTATTCTGTTGTCAAGGATCTTTCTTCTTTCGTCTGGACAATTTTTCTACTTGTTGCTGTCCAGGATCTCAATGGAACGATGGACATGTATGTACCATGTATCCATGCACGTTGAGATGTGATTAGTAGGAATAACTGATGTCTAAGTACAAATATTTGATTTCTATTTCTACTCACTTTTTTGATAAATCAATTTTGAATTTAATTTCTCAACAATCACTCTCCAAAGAGTTCGCTGGGTACTGAAAGTTGGAAACCCCTTCCTTCGAGTATCCTGTTGCTCTACCCTGACCTTAACCTGGAATAAATAGTTTCTCCATGGCGAGCATGAGCTTTGATAACTCGTGAGAACCTCAAAAGGCATCTAAGGAGACATAGATAAGTTCATGATGGCAAAATAACAGAAGGTGCAGAATGGAGAACTTTCTCTTATCCATTTGCTTAGCCCGCATTACTGTAAGCTACTGTTCTCTATGTTGGCATCTTAAACTTCGGCGCAAAAAGTATAGAAAGTGCAGTCAATATTCTTGCTCGACTTGCCTTGCCTTGTGATTGCGTTGTTGATGCATGATCTGCGTAGTACCTGTAGATGTAGGGGAGGGGATGGACTGAGTGACTGAAGCACTTTCTTAAAAAGATTGCGAAGACAAACAAATAAGCACAAGAGTCGGTGGAATCAATTCGCGTTCACATTCACATGACGGAAAACCCGGAACCGGTTTTAGACATGAAACCGATATCATGTTGGTTGCCCCTACATATAATTGCTTTGCACAGTTTGGCGAGAAGTGAAATAGAGGCTACGTGATATTGAGGTTTTGTTTCAACCCTCATAGTGATTTCTCTCAAAATTACTTATGTTTCTCCTCTACTCAATTCTCTTCCGTGCATTGGTTCCATTGTAACTTTGTAGAATCTTGGATTTTATAAAATTTAGGAGTGTTTAAATCTCAGGTTTATGACATTCTGAATTATTATTTGAGGTAGTATACAAGCGAGTTATCGTGTGGGGCCATAGTTGAATAATGATTTGAATGTTTATATTTTGAGTAATTAAATTCAATACAGATAGGCGAAATACAATGAACCGTTAGCAGATTAGAACTCACGATCAAGAAACCAACTAACATGCGTGTTTCGAAGAAGCGGTCAGACCAATTTTGGAGTCCTAACCGATTGTCATTTGCCAATAAATCACTTGGAAATGAATGGAAAACAATGAAAGATCAGCCACTGGGTTGTGATTGCGTCTTAGACAACCGCAGAACTATTGTACTAGAGGACATGTACTGCTCATTCTTGGTATGCAAGTGAGATTACGAAATGCTAGAAACATGTAATTGACTGCCACGGAGAATTCCACTTGTCCACGGAAGAGGAAGTATTAGATGTGGACAAACGCGTTGGAGCACGACTATGAGTAGAATAAGGATAGAGGCAACCGGGCGGGGTTCAGCCTCGCACGAAGACTTTGATTTCAATAAGTCAAGGTGCTATAAGCCAAAAGGCGTCAATGCGTATAATAATCGATGTAGTTTTGATCTACATTCATATCTTGAAAGGAAGCTTTCACGGTAATATGACAAATTCAACTAACTCTATGATTGATATTTTTGGCAATTTTTGTGAAGTCTTCTTGAAAAGCATAATATGTAGCATTTCTAAACACTCTTGACACCTTTGATATATGTCGCGTTTGTGGTCGATAATTTTCCATGACTGAGATGATCTCAAGAGACAAGGATGGCTTACTTCTCTTATAAATCTCATTTGTCAAACATGATATGTTGAAACATGTTTTTGGGTTCATTTTCCACATATCTTCTTCCATGTATGTTATCTCTGTACTTTGAAATGGAAGATTGAGTGACGAAAATTAGAATGGTTGATGGCGTTGTAGCTGCGAAAACATGAATATTGTACAATCTACTCACCGCGGTCTTTTTTTCTGAAATAGTGACCAACAGCGAACTTAATCTGCACAGGATAAAAACCATAAGGAATGTGGTAGTACTGAGATCCCTCGAGCCTCATATTGTTCCGAGTTTGGAAGTCGAGGCACACCTTTCTCGGCCTTTTGGCTAAGATCAAGTGTAGTATCTGTTCTTATCAGTTTAATATCTGATACGAGGGTCATCGACCCTCACGATATTAATCTTATTTCTTTCAGGGTGCGGGTCCAATTCGGCAGCTTGCTGTCGAGGATCTGCCAGTGTCGCCTAGGTCTTGCACTACTTCCTTGGCAGGCGCAGCCCACCCTCACTCTCCAGGGAGACTAATGAAAACAAAAATGGCATGTAGCAGTGTTAGCTTTTCTTTTTCGCATTGAAAACTATCTAAATTTCTCCGGGAACATTTTCCTCGTGATGATAGGCTTGAATATTTATTCAGGATTTAGAATATGGATAAAGACTGGTAAAAAGAGGTAGCTCAAAAAATGTTGAATTCGATACATTCTATCAATTAAAAAAAAAATTCCCAAAAGTATTTAAAGTTTAAATATCTACTAGCATAATACTTCTTGTCTTGACTTTCAATTCATTGTGAAGCAATTATTGATAATTAGCCAAAATATTCTTAAATTAAGTGTGATTCTAAAATTATTAATAACATTATTTTGTCTTGACAAAGTGCTGAAGCTTTAATTCACATCTTTTTTTATCTAGATTATTTCAACAAGATGAACATCTGTACATGTTTTTTTGGCATGTTTAATGTAGATTAGTCACTCAAACATATAATCTCAATGTTTGTTACATGAAAATACAATATTATGTGGTTTCATGTTTCTATTAGATGAAGAGATTTTCTACTCAATTTCACTATAATTCTTTAGATTTCTTTAAGTAAACTGTGAAATTATTTCTAACTTTTCAAGTAAGTGTAAATCATAAAATTCCTCTAAAGAATAGTATACAGTTCAAGTGAATATTTGTACCCATAACTAAATTGAATCCAATTTCAACATGAAGTATTCTGTACCATCATATAATTCGTTAATTATCTTAACAACTTCTTATAATCATATACACATCAATGAAATGATAACATGAGATTATGGCATGCCAACATCAAATCCTCATTTCCAAGTAAAAAAATTTGATTTAACATCGTAATAAATCCTACTGATCCAATTTCTAGCATGTAACTATATTCATTACATCATTGCATAGCTTTTGTTGAATATATATATATATATATATATATATATATATATAAGTAAGTTGCATTGCCAATCATGTATATTTGTTACCCAAAAATAAATTGAACTTAACTTTAAATAAATTGAGAATGATTTTTGTCACGACATTAATTCTCACAACTTTAATTGATTGCAAACGCATCATCGGTAATATTATCAGTATATATTAAAAAAATTTGTTACAATCATACACCGTTGTAAAATGAAATTGGAAAGTAATATAAACTTTTCAAATATGAAATGTTTTTTGAAACCAAAAATCCTAACTACTCTCTAAGGTTATCTGCTTAGTTTTTTATGCAAAGCTATATGTGTATATGTAAAACCATGTTTAGTTTGACATTGTGTGATGTATCACACTTTACAATTAAAAAACTATTTCTAGGTCAGAATTACTTTAAAAAATCTTCGTTTATTTAATGAGAAAAATACATTCCATCATCTATACACATGCAACGAAAAATGAAAGACAACTAGTAACTCCTAATTGAGTATCCATCTCCAATGTTTTACTATTGGAAATTTTGTATTTTTATCGTTGAATAAAGAAATCCCGAGGTTTATTTTATGTATAATAACATTGTCTATAATCAAATTTTTTGCACGAATAAATCTGGCAACGTAAATTCGACTTCACGATCCTTCGACTGGGATCTTCAAGGCCTCGACGTAGCGCTTGCCGTGCACACCTTTGGCCACCAACTGGTCCTGCAAGTCTGCGAAGCGCGCCGAGCCATAACGCGGCCGGCGCGACGACTCGTCCAAAAGCTGCGCCACGGGGCCGATCGTCGCAGCCCTGGCCGGGTTGTAGAAGGCGCCGATGGAAATGCGCTCGCGCCCTTCATTGCCCCCGCCTTTGTGCTCCACGCTCTTGAACCTCCCGTTGCTCACCACCTGCACTCACCCATCGTCCATCATCGTCACCACCATTCCACTGCAACCATTCTGCTCACAATTCCATAAATTTGTTGCCCCAATTCTTCTCACAATTTCACGAATTTGTTGACACAGTTCTGTTCACAGTTGCACGAGTTTGTGTTGCCACAATTCTGCTCACAACCTCTCGCGGCCATCGATCTGTCTACGAACACAAAAGAGGTTGTGCACCTCGAGGCAATCGGCCACGTTGACGATGAAAGCATTCTGCAGGGGCTCGACTTGCATCCAGCGTCCGTGGCGGCGGATCTCCAGGCCCGGGACCTTGTCGGCCAGAAGGAAGGTGAACACAGGCGCATCCGAATGCGCCGGGAGCACGCCCACCGTGTTGTCGTCCGTCTTCAGAGGGTAGAAGTTGGCTCGAATGCCGACGTCTGCAGGCGCGAACAGCCTCCTCAATGCGTCTGCCTCCAGCCCCAGCTCTTGCGACAGCGCCGCCAGCACTCTCTCCTGCAACGCTCTCACTTGCGTCGCGTACTCGAGCACTGTCGCCCTGTCACGCGCACAGCATCGGGACATGTCAGTCGCCATCGCGATGGATCGAGCCTTCCCGGTCCCCATGCCCATGGATGAGCTTGCACGAAGCCCGCTCGGGTCCGGGAACTCGGTCCAGTGATTTCTAATCGCTGTTCTACGATCGGTGGCGACGTTGACCATGAAATCATCTCTCAATGCGGAGAATCGACTGAGGATTCTTCATTTCGTGCAAATGTGGAAGCAATTGAACCTGTAAAATGGGATCGGAGAGGAGAGAGTGACAGTAAGCCTCGATTTCGAGCAGATAAGTGAGGAGAAGTGAAATTCTCACCGGAGAGCTGGTGGATTTGGTGGGACTAGATTCTGGCGATCGGGGTCACCGTACAGGACGTCGTGGTACATGTACTCACAAGTCTCGGGAGTGATGAGGCCAATTTTCTTCACGCGAGCATGGCCCGACATCTCGGGGCAGCACCAGCCCTGAAATTGGTCGTCGACCAAGTACTTTTGTTTCTCTTCGGGCGGCAGGTAGAAGAACTCTCTGTACGCCTCCTGAATCCTGTCCATCAACGACAGGTCGACGCCATGGTTGATGATTTGGAAAAAGCCCCACTCTTCACAAGCCTTGGCGATTTGCGCACCGACGCTTTTCAGCCCCGCATCGTCCTGCGTCCCTGCAAGGTCGATCACCGGGACCTCGTCTTCCATCTTCATCCTTCAATCTCCCCCTCGAGGCAACTGCTCTGGCAACACTCTCGACGGAGACCGAAGCAATTCTGCAAACAGAATGTTTGACATGGACCCCGGACGATGCTATCACCTGAAGAAAAAGCGAAGAAATAATATATTCTCCTGCACTCATTGGTTGTCAGATGTGGACTCTTGACCGCCAGTAACGAGACGGATTCGAGTCTTGGCATCTGGTCAAAGTCTGCATTCTCGAGAATCTGTGGGTGCGAATCGTCAATCGCCATTTCCTTCTGTGGCTTCTGCATCCATTTCTGTGATTGCACAGAAATGGATGCAGATTCAGCTTGATTTGAGCACAAATAGATTGCTGCTCTCGGGTTTCAATTTTCAGGATTTTATACGAAGCCGAGCACTTCAGCTTCTTAAAGTCGATCTCTGCAAATCCACAGCGAGAGCAGAGGAGGAGAATCCGAAGGAATGATGTGAAGTCTTCGGAGGAATTGGAGGCTGTGTCCATTGCCCCAAGCAGCAGCAGACACGGAGAAAATGATATTTTCAATGAAGAAATGCGAGATATGAAAGTGAGTACGTGGTGCTTGATGTTCTGTTACAGTAAGTAGGCACTGGTGGAGCCACTTCTATACTAAAACATTTCTTAATCATTTGCAAGAACAGAAATTATCAATCCAATATTTTTTGTTTATTCAATGTGTAGATTGCTAAAGCTTTGGGCATTTATTATTGTTGAATTTGATAAGTTTTATTACATTAACAGTCGATTAGCAGTCAGTTCATAGTTTATTAAAAAAACCTTCACATCTTTGAAATATTTGTATAATATATTTTATTCCAACGAATTTTAAGTTCTTGTAAGAGAATTGATCATTAGGACACCACATTTGTAAAAAAATTTATCAATGATGTAATTACAAAACGAATGCAAGAATTTTGTAAAAAAATTCATCTGAGATACATCTGAACAAATTAAAAATCGCCTCTTATTAAATATCCATAGATGTAATCCGGAATAAATCCATATATTTTTTGAGATGGATATCAAACTGAGGCCGGTTGAACTTGCGAGATATAAATATAAATTAATTGATGGCCACGGAGCATTTCTCTGTCTGCATGCCGGTCTTCGCTATGCCTCCCATTTGAAGATCTCATCTGTGCTGCACAAGGGAATCACCACGCTACGTTTTCTAACGTGGTCAGAAGTCGGTGGCCACCATAGAAGCAAACGCGGTACAAGGTCCGCCACAGTTCGCCCGTTGGCTCGGTCGTTCCTGGACTTCGATCATGAATGACTCTGAGTTGCCGGCTCGCAGGAAAACTGGATCATCGTCACAAATTGGAGCAATGGGACGACGAATCTGAGATCGATTCGCTCAGCCTTCGATCCTGAGAGCCTCCACAAATCCCTTGCCTTTGAGGCCCGTGGACAACAGTTCCAGCCCCATCTGGCCGAAATTGGCAGAGCGGAACCGCGCAGGATGCGTCTCGTCCAGCAGCTCGTCCATGGGGCCGATCGTGGCGGCCTTGGAGGGCATGTAGAACGAGACCATGGAGATCCGCTCCTCCGCCTCGCTGCCCGCTCCTCTGTGCTCTGCACTCCTGAATCTCCCGTTGCTCAGCACCTGGGCAGCAGCATCCAGATGCTCGAAGCTCATCAGCATCAGAGAAGCTCAACGCATGCTTTCCATGTCGAATCTCAGCAGCAGGTCCGTCCTATTCTGTCGGAAACCATCGACCTCTGTGCGCATTTGGGTGCAATGGAAAGATGTGGCTGTACCTCGAGACAGTCCGCCACGTTGACGACGAAAGCATCAGCCACGGGCTTGACTCGAACCCATCGCTCGTCCTTTCTGATCTCCAGCCCAGGCACCTTGTCTGCGAAGAGGAAGACGATAGCAGGCAGGTCCGAGTGCGCCGGCAGCTCCCCCACAGTCTTCCCCTCTCTCTTCAAAGGATAATAATTGGCTCGGATTCCTACATCAGCGGGCCCGAAGCGATTCTGCAAAGCACTTGCGTCAAGCCCCAACGCTACGGACATCGCTGCCAGCACCCTCTCCTGTGCAGCTGTAACTTCCTTCGCAAATTCGAGCACCATCGGCCTGTGATTTGCAGAGAAGAGTGGACTCGGTATCAGACGGTGCTTTAGCTCTCACTCTGGAAGAGTGTTTTGTCCGGCCCAGAAAACTGATCACAGACGTACAATCGTTTTCAAGGACCATGGAAACTCACCGTCACAGCAAAACATGTGACAGGATGCATGATGGACTCTGAAGGTCTTAAATTAGGTACGATTGTCAGTCATTCAATGGGAGGGGAGAATTTCAGGGAGCAAGGAGAATTTTACGAGGAGAATTTCTCACCGAAGAGCTGGTGGAATTGTTGAGAGTGCGGGCTGCTGATTGGGGTCACGAGAAAGCGCGACATGGTACATGAATTCACACGTCTTTGCCGTGGTCAGGCCGAATTTCATCAGATCAGGATCATTATAAACCTCGGGAGACGACCAGCCCTCAAAATCTGCAGTCATCATGTACTTCCTTTTCTCTTGTGTCGGCAAGTGGAAGAAATCTATGTATGCCTTCTGGGTCCTCCGAATCAAATCCAGGTCCACACCGTGATTGACGATGTGGAAAAAGCCCCATTCCTCACTAGCCTTGGCGATTTGTTCACAGATTCTCTCCAACCCCGGACCCTGAATGTCTGCGAGATCGATCACAGGCACTCCGTCCTCGGAGCTCATGTCGTCGACCATGATTTGCCTCCGAGTGACAGGAAGTTCTGCTTCGATTCCTCGAACAGAAGGCCAGCGATGCCGGCCTCCTTCAGAACAGCTATGTCCCTCTGTACTCTGCGAGGAGCGCAACGCATGTGATCGAGGAGAGGGCTCAAGACCAGCCACTCTAGATTTGATGCTTTCGGGGCCAAATAATTTAAGTCCATATAATAATACTGGAATTACAAAAAGAGCAGTCGACACCAACTTTAAACATGGAGGCACATACTGTCTAAAATAATAATTTTTGCGTTAGATGGATGGCTGGCTACGAAGATTATTTTACCTGATTTATGTGACTGGTGGACAGAATCCTTTAAACCTTTAAAACCCTATTCAATCATTGTTGCAGTAACTTCTTGCTCCAACTATGGATAGATGGATAATGTAACAAGATACGGCATCCATGTTCAAAATGGGTATCTACTTTCCAGCAACTCTGTTTTTTGATGCAATTAATCTCTCAAATGCAACTTTGTTTTCTTAACTATAAACCATGTCCCAAAGTTGATAATATTCAATTGGTCTGTCCAAAAAGAAATATTTCTTTCTCATATTCCAGAATTTACACGAAGAAAGTGATGGTTCACCTCGTTGCATTGGCTTATCAGACATTGGTATTCTACTTTCTAAAATTCTAATTTTTGAAATTTTGGAATTTTTCACACTGGAAATTTTGTGATTCGCACTAGCGAGGCTATGTCCATGAAACACAAAGTTTCCTTTATTGAAATTTCTAATTGTATCAGTTAAAGTTACAACCAGCTCTCTCATACAGTATTAAGCTGATTACTCTAACTATTTATAATTACATTAATTTGACCTTATCTATCCTTAGCAATCTTACTCTTTACTCATGTCTTGGAAGATGCAAATTCCATAATCTACATATTTCTTGAAGATCTGAAAGGTACTTTGCAATCCCAAGACATCACTTTGATAATCATTTTACCAAAAAATAATTTCTAAAATATAGTATATGTTAAATTTATTTTTTTTGGATATGGTATGATGCGCATCACATGTAGAACTACTAAAGGGCTATGATCTATACAATACATATTCCAATCCAAACAACGTAATGCAATTGATCTCATTAGACGGAGAAAGATTTACCAACTAATTTTTTGACTTCACAACTTCTCTCAAAACTTATATGATAAATCTGAATGTCTCACTATAGTCTTTGTCATTTTAGTACCAAGAAGTTCAAAAGTAACAAAGAGAATTGTAAACTTGCAAAGTTGGTCAAATTTGAGTTGAGTTCAAATAAAATGTTGCAAATTCAATGAAGTTTTTTTTGTTTATTTTTGTTGCCTGAATGTTCACATCAACTGAGTTTAAAAGTATACATGTTATTATTGTACGTATGTTTGCTGAGGTATATACTATGCAATGGGACTAAGTAAACTAGTTAAATATGATTCTATGCATATTAGGGTTGAGGTTGATCTAGTGAGTAGGACTTGTGGTAATACTCATACCCATGTACGCGAGAGGTATATCATTCGGAACGGTTAGTTCGGTAGAGTTGAGACTTCAGCGATGGAAGATATCCATTCGTGAGTATAACCCGGATCGAGATTCACATTAGCATTGGCATGCATTCTACTAGTAGTGGAATCAGCTTGGCTCAACTGTTTGTGATCTTTCATTTAGTGTTTTATTACAATAGGTCTTTCACGGATTTTCACTCAAAGAAGTAACCGTTCTTAGAGTTGTGATACACTTGTTTTGTGTATACTTTCGTCTATGATTTGTGTGTATGTATGTATGGTATGTAAGCAATATATGTTGCATGACGATATGTATTCTCACGATAAATATTTAATGATCTATAAATATTGTTTCAATCAATCTCAAATGATCAACGTAAAATAATGATGTTCCAAAATCATTAGGTTAAATAAACATTTACGTGAGACACAAAATGTTTCAAAGAAGTACTACATAATAATTTATGCTAATTTTATCCATGTAGAGTGAATCACCTAGATTCTTGTATTCTTTTCTTGTCACCTGGAAAGAAAAACCTTTTATTTGAGTTTCATAATACTTTTTTCATATAGCAAGAGACCAAATGGATATAAAGTATAGAAAGATATCAAAGTTTGTATATTTGTAAGATATCAAACAGGAAATCAAAGCTCTGTAGTGATGCTTTAAATCAATGCTTATCCAAACTACATATAATTAGAAGGATCTACAAATAATTTTCTATGAATGCATACTGCTGCATCAATTTATGCTTTTGACTTTTTGTCTATAATGTTGGCTAGTGATTTATGTAAAGCAATTGAAACATGTTGCTTAAAAGAGTACATCATAGGTTAACTAAAATGGTAATTCTTTTGGATTTGTAAGACAAGCTTTCCAACTCATGAACATGTTCACATTATTCCAAACATTCACGTTATTCCAAATATTCCAATGTTGAGAAATTGAGTATGTAATCTCTGTTCATAATCCTCTACTTTGAAAACTTGGTTGTTGACTTCACACTCACTGCCAATAACGATCGATCACCTTGTCAAGATTATAAAGTGGCACCCGTAAACTCAAAGTCACCAGAAATTGTCTAACCAAAAGCCTAATTATATTAATGAAAAAACGAAGCACACAAAAGTAAAATGAAGAGCCATATATGTATTTGCCACAACCGCCGACCGTGGGGATCGAACCCACGACCACGTGGTTAAAAGCCACGCGCTCTACCACTGAGCTAGGTCGGCTGGTTGTTAGGGACTGTTATTTAATAATATTTAGCTTAAAAAAGCATGTGCCCTCCTCAATACAACATTAATTGAGATCCAGTTCAAAGGAGCACAAAGCCCATGCTTCTCTTCTTCCTTCGCTTCGGTGTCTGCCGTACATCCACTGACACTATAAACTAAACTTAAAGTCGGCTGCCCAATCGTCGACGGAAGTTCCCAAGACTGTAATCCTCGCCAGACGAAGGAAATCGGCCCATCCGACATCACATGATATGCACTCCAACGTGAGGGGCCAGTGTTCGATGGTTCGGAAATCCGCTGAAATCCTCTGAACTCCTCCCAATCACGCCCTCTTCTCTAATTTGCCCTCATCGCAGTTCGGGTTTTAGTTTGAGTAGAGGAGCTGGATCTCGGGCCAATATACAGTCCAGCTGCAATAGGGATTTCGTGTTACTCCATACTGAGTTTCGATTGGAGTTTACTACCTCCGTCGCAGTTGTAAGACTGTTGTTAGCTCGGAAAATCCGTAGAGCTTCCCAAAACTTCAAGACAAGGATTGACGAGCACGCTGTCCCAGGTTGCAAGTTCTACGGAAAAAGAAGCTGCAGATTCGCCTCGAGCCTCTGATGTGCGCAGAGTGCTCAGACTGCGAGGATTAACTAAAGCTGCAGCTGTCAAATACTCGGTACTGGATATCATTATAACAAAAGGATGTAGAATTCTCTGCCCGCCTCCCTGGCTTCTCAAGTGACAAGTGACAGCTAGGAACTGTGCGAGTGCCAATGATGAACTTTGTTACTCCGACTGCATCAACCATGTGGACAGGCCGTCATATTACTCGGCTCGTTGCCCTGTGAGTAGGAGAGCACTGTTAATGTGCTCACTACGTTACGGCAAATAACTGTCTACACTCACTTCCGAGACTTCCCAACCAGTTTCGAGCACTTGTCAAAGGCTATCTTTACACGGTGAGCTCTTTCACCTTCAAAGATACACACTAGACCCAACTCCAGTGAACATGTCATATGCACAGATGTGACTTCTCACATACTGATCCAATCATATCGTTGAACTCCATCAAAGACATTCGAGAGAACACGCAGATGGGAGACAGAAATTATTCGGTTCATCAAAACATGTACGGTGGATTGAGAGAACATTTACAAAAGTTGGGCGTCTATGTCGATGATGAAGCAAAAACTAAAACCTCAACCACGGCAGGATGGTCTCATCTGCTTGGGCCATGAAGAAGAGCATCCAGAACCACCAAAAAACTGGTCCAGAAAATGATCATGCCTATCACGAAATACATCCTCCAAAACCATAAGGCCGAATCTAGATGGAAAAGACTATTCCCAGCTACGATGTCTGGTGCCCTTGGATTGTGAGGATTGGGAAGCATAAAGTAAAACTTCCCCGTCTACTCCTGCCATTATTACTACATGTTTTCTTCCATCCACTATGTTGTTTCCAACGTTCACCACTCTGTACAAACAGTCCGTGATCTTCAAGAAAGAGTAAGTGATTCTATCTCTGGAGATGGATGATCGCCGGATAGAAAGCTGATGTAGATCTCAAAACCCATCAAAATCAAAACTTGCATTATGCTGCGGGAGTCTCGGCAACCGCAGAGGCACTTTCAAGCTCAGTTCTGAGCTGGGCGGAAAAGTCATCGTTCACGTCGTCATCATCCCAGTCGTCTTCCCACTGTTGCAGAGCAACCTTCTCTCCCTCTTCATCGTCCCACTCTTCGGTCTCGAACTCTTCAAACTCATCATCGTCCTCAAACAAATCCAGCTTCACTTCCTCCGAAGCCTGCTTGGGAGCTGTCTCTGTGGTACCGGCCATAGCTTGGGCTTACCAAGAATAAACAACTCCAACTTTTGGATATCCAATACCTGAGGCACGCGTTTCACAGATGTCAGAGTCTCAACATAGAAACAGTCGTAAGAAGAGTGGGACTGGAATGAAATGACTCAACTCAGCGCACACCGTAAGCACATCCAAAGTCCCCCCAAAAATGATCAAACAGCGACCTCTACATGCTACCACATTTATCAAGCCAATATAGAAAAAAAATACAAACATAGAGAAACTACACAAAGATATCAAGGATTCCATGAGGACAAATTTTTCAAAAGACTTGAGAGGAACCAACGATTTAAGACGATTACATATCTAATCAATAATGTATAACGGAGGAGATCTCCAGGAACAGAAGTTTTGCAAGGAGACAACGATGGGATGCATAAGAAATTCGAAAGCAGGTTGTGGATGTGTCATATCGAAGGGTATTCTGAATTCAAGAGACTAACGGCGAGACATAGAAATGACACCCGTACTATAAGAGCTCTCCAGAAACGTAAGTTTGACTAAAGGTATCGATGATCTGTTAGAACCTCAGTCCAAGAAATGACCAGACCAAAATGTGAACGTCCTGATAGTGAGAAGTTATCAGAAGACCAACAAAAGAACTGGAATTTAGAGCAAGCGTCTGACCGTCAACAATAAATATGTACAAATCATGTCTACGTTCAGATACAAAGAGAGAGAAAAGAGGAAACAGAATGGTGCATAATTTTAGGGTTCAAAAAGCGGGTCATTTTGAGGAAGTGAGTGAAAAATCCAATCGCAATATCGTTCAACGACGGGGTTCAACAATACGCGATGGTGACTGTCAATCTCACACGACTTTGTCACCAACCGACAGGACCGAGATTTTTTATGACAGTCTACCTCCTGTATGAGACGTCTGTTCCAAAGCTTCAAACTACTGACATTTTGTAACTGTGATGACCAGGAACTCAACATCAACGAGAAAATGCAATCAGCAATCGGAAGGACGTGCCATCATATCAAACTCAGCGAGAAGAGAAAGGAATGTGTTCAGAAACCATTACGAGAGCAAGGATGTGCAAGCAACCGTCTGCAGTCACGAGAAAGGCGCCCGTGGCCTAAGAAAAAGGCATCGTGGGTGACGAACGCCGTGCGAAATTTCAGAGAAAAGAACAGAACCCATGATTAAAACGGGGCACGAAAATCAGAGAGCTTCGCCGCACATCGGAGGCAAAACTCGTGCAGAAATTTACCTGCAGAGCAAATCGCTGTCGTCGTCCAACCTACGCACGGGCGTCGAGAGTTGTGGCAGCCGGGTCGATGTCCTTCTGTTCTGCTCCACGGCCTTCTTCCTTGTGCGGCAATGACCGAATACTTGGAGTACTTGGAATACCCTGGAACATATGCAGGAACGCAAATATCATAAAAATTCGCGGAAAACAAATTCCTATTCCTCAGAGATTTATATTACTCTAGAATAAACTCTATCAATCAAAATGACGAAAATGCTGGGACGACCCGTCAATTACCCCATCATGGAATCATGGATGGAACAACCCACATGGATAACTTGGGTTAGCTCCCAATGGCATCACAATGAACCTAATTTCTACTAGGGCTGGATAACTTCAAACCGAATTATCTAGTCAGAATGGTATAAGTATGAAGAAGAGTCACCTGATTGCTCTCTTCTTTATTGCATCACCTATTGCTCTACATAGAGCAAGATGAAAAATAGCTTAATAATAATAATATAAGAGAATGGAAGACTAGTAAGATGGGCTCTTGCTCTATCTCAAAGTCATTGTACGTAATCTGTATAAATTCAAAGATAGCAAATTTAAAGATGTGATGTCTTTCTAAATTTGCTTGTGTGTCCTTGATGCCAATCCATGACGAATTAAATCATTTGTCCAAAATCATCATACATAGTATATGTATGCACAACGCCTACAACATCGTTGTGTTGTTGTTGCTGCTTGAATACCAGAGTCAACTGACAGTGTCCCATGTTATGACCAACTGTGGTGTGTTTTGTTTGGTTGGACCTTCCTCTATTATTCTATCAATCTCATATGATAATTCTGAATTCTGGTGCACGCTTTTTTTATGTCAGAAATATGCAATCTTTGACCTTAGTTTGCACAAACCTATGTGAAGTGTATAATGTCTTCAGTATTAGAAATCTCCCACATCACCATGATACGTTTGATTCTGCAAATGCAATTTGATTATGTCCTTGATAGTTATAGTATGTGAGCACATATTTTAGTTACAATTTCATAATCATATAATGTACTTGTGAATGTTTCCTTTTTCAGTATGATAAGATTCAACACTAAATCTTATCAACGTTGATTATAGAAAGCAAATTATCTATAGATGGCAATCTAGACAATTGATGAGAGCCAAGTCTATTGACAACCGGTAATCTTTATTATCAAAAATATTATTATACCTTATCAATGTTTGGCATATCATGTAGTAATTTAGGCTTGTGTTATTTGCATTAGAAATTTAAAATTTTAATACATATGAAAATTAATTATTTATTATTTAAAAACTCGGATAAACAGAAAAATCACTTAAATGTCTAAAAACACTTACCTATATATACTTTCCACCAAATTATCAAGCTTAACTTTATTTTAAAATATGGTTTGTTCCTAAAGCTCAATATCCAAATTGATGAACCATTATGTGGATCCAATAAGATTACCATAATCTCCATGAAATGACTTAGAAACATATATTATTTTGGGGTCTTAAATTTAAATTCCAACAATCTATTTAAGATGAATGTCAATGAATGAAATTTGTAAAAAATAATTCCTTCAGTGAACCCAAAAAATATTACATTGTATCATATTGATAATAGTGATGTATTCGAGTGTAATTATGTTGATGTAGAAAAAATTGATTATTTCTTGATAATTTTCAATACAATATTGATTTTTATAACTTAGATCGTAAAATCCATTAATTTTTTTAGTTTTTTTCAACTGATTATATATAAATAATTAGAATTATTTTTTTATGCAATATACAGTTGAATTTTATAATAATGATTCATATATAGTTTGAGATGATAATATTCTAGATTTTTTTTAATTTTTCATAACATATGTATATTTTACTAATAAATAACAAATGAAATATAATTCAAATATATTTTAAAAAAGTTAATGATATTTATATACAGATTGAATATTTCATTGAATTAAAACTAATATACACAATTACACACAATCCTGAAATATTTTTTTCTACAAAATTGATAAATTCAACTTTAAAAGAGAAAAAATAAATAATATTTAATTCGAAATTTTATTCTCACAAGTATAAAAAATTGATTCCTGTATGTTTTGTGATCAACTTGGATTCTCCACGTTTTGATGATAAAAAATTAATTAAAATTGAATAAAATTATTTGTATAAAATTATATATATATATATATCTATTAAAAGTTTCCATTTATTATAAGCATTTTTTATGAATTTTTATTCATATTATAAATATTTTTTCCAATAAATATTTTATATATTGGCATGATCCATATAATCTTTTTACAGGTATAAGAATCTTCAATAAAATCGAGTTTTTCCACTTTAGGTTATAATAATAATCATCTGATTTTAACAAAATATATATTAGATAAATGATCAAATATAAAAACAAAAAAAAGTCATGTATTGACTGATATTTGAAAATTCTATTGAATTTAAAAATTTGTTTGTTTCACTTTCAGAAAATTAATTGAGTTTAAAATTAGGCAAGATAATCTTTAAAAAAAAATAAATGTTAGAATTTTTGAATATGTCTTGATAGTTTAAACTATCAAGAACATTTTTGTTCATGTATATTTTTCTTCAAACTTGTATTACATCATGATTCATTCAACATACAAGTCCGATGCTTTTCCATTATTTTTCTTGTGTAGACATAAATTTTAAGTAACTATGTAAATTGACATACTGATATTTTAGAGGAAATCTAATATAAATATATGCAGTGATGTGAAGCATATTAACTTATTTAGATTGATGAAAAGAACAACCAAACCTTATTGATCCCACTATCTACTCATGATATCTAACTAGTCAAGAAGCTACATTTCATTTATTTACGGATACAAAAATCACAACATATTTGATACTAGATTTTTAAGAATTACTAACTGATCATAAATCTATGATCAAATTCTTAACCGTCAGATACACATTCAATCCAATTTTTTTGATTACCAGAGCAATTGATAATAATATGAAATATTAAGTCATATCTCTTGGCAATAACATCTTACCACTCATTGAATTATTTAATCAATTTAACAATCTTGTTACTTCAAGACAACATTCATAAATTATTATTTAAAATTAGGTTATAGGAATGCAAGATTTAAAAAATTCCTCCGTGTATGTGTGAAGGAGTCTAGCCAATTCATCTAGTTTTTATTCAACTATACAACAAAGTACAAATTTTTTAATATATTCTTGAATATTTTATAATTGATGAAACAAAATTATGATGCTTTCTAGCTATAAGTCATGATACATATTTGATTATAAATATATATATAATTATTTATATATATAGGGGATGTTAAAACAATCACATAAATAGTTAAAACAATCACATACGAATCTCTTGTCTAAAATTGATTTTTTGCTATTGCTTTTGTAGTATTTGATGTCCTTGGTGGCAGGGAGGGTGGAGAGGTACTCCAAAATGAACTAATGAATGAGCTGTTGTAGGGCAAAGGCCGGATCCATGGAAGTATCAACTCTGTTAGTGTTTTTTGCACATGAAGGAGGAGGAAGTCCAAAACACACTCGCATCTGAGACTTGGCCTTGTGTGCGAAATTTTTTAATATTTACAGGTCATCATGTGAACAGGCGTCTGGCGTCGTATTAACAAATTTTGTGGTCATTTTAACATATCTAACTCTCACGAGGTTAACTTACTCTTCATGCAACCTACATTGTATTTTAGAAATAACAAATATGTGGTAGTTGTAATAATTTGTGTTGTCGATTTAACATTACCCTATATATATTGTCTATTTTAATAACTTTCATGACCAAAAGACTCTTAATCAAAAAATTGCTGAGTTGTATTACAATATTCAAGTATTATTTAATCAATATATATATGTTGTTAAGTATAAAAAAAATTGTGATGTTACTGCCTATCATCAACAAATACATATTACTATGATCTCTACCAAACAGTTGTATAAGCAATTATACATTATACATCCTCATCAAATTTATGCACCTAAATAATAGGTGAAATTTTTTAGATAATTTCATTTCACATGTTGTATATTATCAAATCAAAATTTTTAATCAAATATTTTTTAATTTTGTTGACTATAATTATTTAAATAGTATAATGTAATTATTTGATCTCTAAAGATCATATATCATACTACGTCATTGCTGAAAATCAGATTTCAAACACCATTCTTTTACAATATATATTATATATATGATATAAAATTGTAGATTTTGTTGGCGAATTTTGTTTTGACATGGTTATTATTTTGTTTGAAGCCAAAAGTTTATGTTGCAAAATCTAACATATTTTATAAAAACAACACATTTTAAATATAAAATTAATATTAATATTAAAATTATTTATCTCAAATCATTTGATATGAATTCACGTTGTTTCATGTACATCAAATTTATATGAAAGTGTTAGACCATTGAATTATTTTTGTTAGTATTCTTTTGCGTTAGAAAAGTATTTCAAAATATTGTATAAGTGATTTCATCACAAAAAATTGTTATAAGATTTTATGACTCATTGAAGATTATGAGTTTCAAGATGAAAAAAATTATAAGATATAATCATGACACATCACATTATCACAGAATCACATTGATGTGTTTGATAATATTTTATTAATTATAAAAATCATGACTAAAAGATGAATGATAAGAGTGAAATTCTTCACATATTGAGTTTATGGTTAGACTTCTATCAATCATTGTCACATATGATGCTTCATCGTGTTAGACAAACAATCATTTCATCACAACAATGCGGTCCAACAACTGATTTCATAGCATTTACTCGTTGTTGGAGATGCTCTTTTTACGCGTACGAGGTTGTGTGAAGCTTGCAACATATGCCAATCAAACGGATCGATACGGATTGAAAGTAGAAAAACATGCTTGCAAATTGCTTGAATTCCAACTTCAATCTCTGAAGTAAACAATTTAATGCAAATTGTGTGTGAATACAACACGTGTTTGTGTGTGTGATCCATTGTCATTCATCAACATGACGCACATACAATATGTAACTCAAATTCAAAAAGTGATTTTTATCTACATATGACTA